GGGGAATTTTATGAAAACCTAATGAAAATGTTTTTAAATGCTATGAAAAATTTTTTAAAAGTCAATTAAATTAAAAAAAAGGAAAGTGCTTCAGTATCGGACAAAACCCCTACCGCCCACCATGAAAGCTGGAACGCCCACTAGTGGGCGGAAGGGACCAGGTTGACTACCACTGGGTTACACAGTGAACAGCAGCCTAATCAAAGGAACCGCCAAGTAGAAAACCATACTCCCACCCATAGTGACAGGGCAAGCTGCTTCTATGTACAAGACAGCAAACCCCACTCCCTTCTAACCAGTGCTTTTTTTTTTGTAAGAAAAAAGGTGCCGGAACTCACATCTTGTTAATCTTTTATTTACCTTTTGCACAGTAGTCAATCACTGTACACACACCCACACACATCAGTTGTGGAACGAAACATAACAGTCGCTGCCTGCAGTAAGCACTCAGCGCACGACCACACGGCCGAGTAGTGCCACGAGCCGAGCAGCGCCATCACAATCAGTGCGGACGAAGTACGCATGCATCGGACTCGACACACAAGCAGCCTGCATGCACCGTATTTGAGGGGCTGCCCCAAAGAGGAGGGGGTCACGTTATTCTCCAAAGCACCAGAGGGCAGGATGAGAAACGATGGCTGGAAACTGACCAAAGAGAGAAGCAATCTGGAATTAAGGAGAAACTTCCTAACAGGGAGGACAATCAACCAGTGGAACAGCTTTCCACTAGAAATCGTGGGTGCTCCATCACTGGAGATTTTTAAGAAGAGACTGGACAACCACCTGTCTGAGTTGCTATAGGTTCTCCTTCTTGAGCAGAGGGCTTGACTAGAAGACCTCCAAGGTCCCTTCCAGCTCTATTCTATTCAGTACTGAAAGAAGCTCTCAAAGGGTAGTAAAGGAGTATTGAGTTGGTGTCTGACACTGATGATGTTAGCTAGTTGGGCCATGAAACGTCTATAAAAAGACCACCAAGATCAGAGAGCACCAAGAATACCAGTCTTCCTTCTTTTCCTCCCGCCACATACTCCCTCTTTCTTCTCTTCCACTCCTCAAACACTCCTCCTTCTAGCAATGATGATGTTCCCTAGTTGGGTCATGAAACGTCTGCAAGAAAACATCCAAGCTCAGAGAGCACCCAGGACCCCCACAGTCTCCTCCTCCTCCTCCTCCTCCCTATTTCCTACAAACCCCACTCCCTTCTAGCAGTGATGACAGGTAATGAAACGTTTCGAAGGATGAGCAGGGGGTTGGACTTGATGACCTCCAAGGTCCCTTCCAACATTATTATTATTATTGTTGTTGTTGTTGTTGTTGTTATTATTATTATTATTATTATTATTATTATTATTATTATTATTGGAAGAAGTAGCCCTTTTCAAGAACAGAAAAAAAGGCCAGGAGAGACCAACCATTTGATGGAGTTTCTTTATTTAAAAGATTCTTTTTTTTTTGTATTATATTTTTATTAATTTTTTTTACAAGCATGTCACTCAATAATTGGTAAACAGTGTGTTGTCTGGGTTACATTTGTAAAGACACTCCTTAACAATTGATTCCTATAGTCTGTATTCTATATATTAATTTTAGTTGATTTCCTCTTTCCCCAAAACATCCTTTTTTGCAAACATTGAGTTAATACAGTTCTTATTGTTTTAATAAATGAGAATTTAGTATATATTTTTTTCCAATATTCCTAAAAAATCATCATATTAGTACATTTCTCTTTTTTTTTCAGTCGTTTGGATTGCCTTATCATCGATCCTGTTACAATCCTTATTTTAGTTTGCTTCTCCCGCCAAATTCTAAATATTTAAAAGATTCTTATGGCTGTCCACCTTCAAACCCAAGGCTGAGCAACTCACCACGACAAATCCCACAATACTACTACTACTACTACTACTACTACTACTACTATTATTATTATTATTATTATTATATTATTATTATTATTATTATTATTATTTATTATTATTATTATTATTATTATTATTATTATTATTATTATTATTATTATTATTATTATTATTATTATTATTATTATTATTATTGGAAGAAGTAGCCCTTTTCAAGTACAGAAAAAAAGGCCAGGAGAGGCCAACCATTTGATGGAGTTTATTATTTTAAAAGATTCTTACGGCTGTCCACCTTCAAACCCAATGCTGAGCAACTCACCACGACAAATCCCACAATACTTTCCAGCTATTAAACTTTCTGGAAATCCTACCCTTGTCTCAGCCACACCACGACCCCTGTGTCGTTTTCAAATTCCCTGCAGTTTGATCTCCCAGTTTAATTGGTCACCCTTTTTCCGTTACCCCTGTCCCTTCCCGTCTTCAGTGGTCAGTCCCAGCAGACTCTCGCTGAATTCCCAGAGCTTTTTGGCCAGCTGGTCATCGCAGGCTGGTGGCCAGGGCTCCGAGACCTGACAGTCCACGAAATACCGTCCGCTCAGCCTCTCGATACCCTCCTCGGTGGAGCAGTAGATGGAGGTCTGGGCGCCAGCGTCGCAATCTCGGCGGAACATGACGCTCATGAACCAAAAAGGCCAAAATACCCACCGTGCAAAGGAATGACCAAGTTCGGTTCTAACAGGTCCTGAAAGGAAAAGAGAGTTGATTGTGTGAATGGCCTGGGAAGGAAAGAAGCACCTTCCAGGATGAGCCAGATGGAGGAGGAGGAGGAGGAGGAGGAGGAGGAGGAGGAGGAGGAGGAGGAGATCCCAGATGAACCCTTCGCACAACACCCGTTGCTCATTTGGCAGCCTCGAGGCAACTTCTAAATATTTTTCAGAAGACCCAACGCTGAAGCGAGTGGGCGATGCTGCAAAATGTTGAGACTCTAGAAAGAGTGCAGAGAAGAGCAACAAAGATGATCAGGGGACTGGAGGCTAAAATGTATAAGGACCCCCACAGTCTCCTCCTCCTCCCTATTTCCTACAAACCCCACTCCCTTCTAGCACTGATGACAGGTAATGAAACGTTTTGAAGGATGAGCAGGGGGTTGGACTTGATGACCTCCAAGGTCCCTTCCAACATTATTATTATTATTATTGTTGTTGTTGTTGTTGTTGTTGTTGTTATTACTACTACTACTATTACTATTATTATTATTATTGGAAGAAGTAGCCCTTTTCAAGAACAGAAAAAAAGGCCAGGAGAGGCCAACCATTTGATGGAGTTTCTTTATTTAAAAGATTCTTTCTTTTTGTATTATATTTTTATTAATTTTTTTTACAAGCATAAGTCACTCAATAATTGGTAAACAGTGTGTGGTCTGGGTTACATTTGTAAAGACACTCTTTAACAATTGATTTCTATAGTCTGTATTCTATATATTAATTTTAGTTGGTTTCCTCTTTCCCCAAAACATCCTTTTTTGCAAACATTGAGTTAATACAATTCTTATTGTTTTAATAAATGAGAATTTAGTATATATTTTTTCCAATATTCCTAAAAAATAATCATCATATTAGTACATTTCTCTTTTTTCCCCCCAGTCATTTGGATTGCCTTATCATCGATCCTGTTACAATCCTTATTTTAGTTTACTTCTCCCGCCAAATTCTATGTCAACGCTGCAAATACTGTATATTCTTGCTCTGACAATATGCAGAACTGTCTGGTATTTATATAGTTAAACCAGCAACTGGGAAAGAGGGAGGAGCATAAGGATAGCCCGGGAGAAAGAAACCGGAAGTAAATCACATCTTCCAAGTTGATTGGAAGATGTGAACCATGACCCCAAAATAAGGGAGTGGGAAATGCTTAGAATGTATATGCGTAACGGAAGAGAAGCCAGATCTAAGCATTTCCACCATGCTGTACTGACGTCTCTGTAACCTTAATAAATGCTTTTAGGAAAAATATGCCTGAAAGTCCTTTTAAGTGTTTCGTTAATCAGACACATGACATTCTAAATATTTAAAAAATTCTTATGGCTGTCCACTTTCAAACCCAATGCTGAGCAACTCACCACGACAAATCCCACAATACTTTCTAGCTATTAAACTTTCCGGAAATCCTACCCTTGTCTCAGCCACACCACGACCCCTGTGTAGTTTTCAAATTCCCTGCAGTTTGATCTCCCAGTTTCATTGGTCACCCTTTTTCCGTTACCCCTGTCCCTTCCCGTCTTCAGTGGTCAGTCCCAGCAGACTCTCGCTGAATTCCCAGAGCTTCTTGGCCAGCTGGTCATCGAAGGCTGGCGGCCAGGGCTCCGAGACCTGACAGTCCACGAAATACCGTCCGCTCAGCCTCTCGATGCCCTCCTCAGTGGAGCAGTAGATGGAGGTCTGGGCACCAGCGTCGCAATCTCGGCTGAACATGAAGCTCGTGAACCAAAGTGACCAAAATAGCCACTGTGGAAAGGAACGACCAAGTTCGGTTCTAACAGCTCCTGAAAGCAAAAGAGAGAGTTGATTGTGTGAATGGCCTGGGAAGGAAAGAAGCGCCTTCCAGGGTGAGCCAGATAGAGGAGGAGGAGGAGGAGGAGGAGGAGGAGGAGGAGG